TAAATCCAACAGTATGTGCTGTTGACCGACTACTTTTAAGCTTCTGATAAAATACGTCATTGTGATACTTTCACTGGCTTGAAGTTTAGAGTTTCAGAAGGCACTATATGAAGTATTAAGAGATACTCCCAAGAAATATATGCCCTGGCACTGTGTATGCTTCCTCGTTAGAGTGTGGCAAGACAGCCAGGCTAAAGATAGATCTACTCCTGCCAAGTGCCACTGCTTGTCACATCATTGCTTTTTGAGCCATTTCCTCCTTGGTGTTTTCATTGCAGAGATTGAAAATGCTCAAGCTAGAATGTAAATCTTCAGTGATCATATTGATGGATTTAGAGGAGTCTTCTTTTATAAAGCTCGAGTGGAATATCCAGAGATAACAGAGCGTTCTTAGGAAGAGCTTATGGCTACTAAATTGGAAAGATGGGGAGACGGTTTCACATATAATGTATCTACTGCAGTGCACGAGACTACCTCTTGCCCTATTACTTCTTCCCAAGAAGATTTTAAACAGCAAAAACAGAAATTTGAGAACCATGTGTTCATTATATCATATGAGGCTTTTACAGACTTGAAAGCACTTAATAATAAGTGTCTTGATTATTTGGGTGTATGGCCATACCCATCCATTCACTTAGTAAGTAAAGCATCAGCCTCATTTAAAATAATGAGATGTGATGAAAAGTTCATAGGCACTGTGTGACTGTTGATGACTTTGAGTGAGTTTTTGTTCTTTTGGCCTTAGTTTGGCTTTCATTTTCTTATTTGTTTAAAAGGAAAAAGAAATGTGCGGAGTTAGAGATGGAAAGGATTAAGTAATATAAATAGAAATGCTACGAATAACCTCTAAATTAGATAGACTAAGTTTTTAGTTAGTATTTGTCAGTCTCTCATAGGTTCTTTTCAGTACCTGAAACTCCTTTGATGTTTGCCAATTTTCGACAGCAGACTGGAGTCTTTCTCTGTGTCCACATAGCTCTGTCTTTGGTGGGCCTTCTTCTTTTCGGTGTCCTCTTATTTTGCATAGAAGATCAAGTATAGCTTGCTGTGTCATGGCAGGGCTTTCTCAGAAATTGAAGTGGGAAAGTCAGGTACTCGCTTGCTTTTCTAGAGAAAGACATTCCAAGCACTGAGTTCTTTATTTCCAGAGTGGTGCATGGGGCACTCCGGCTCCTGCAGTAAGCCAGGGTCCTGAGTCATCCCTACTGCTATGCTGCTAAGCACATTAAGGTAGGGCTTGTGAAACACGTAATTTGCTAATGAATTCAGTGGTCTTTTATTGTCCTGTTTCTGTCATAACTTTTGTGATGATGAGTAGTAGTTTCATGGATTTATATATTATCTTCTTACATTTAACTTTTTCTTATGAATTTGTTATACTTACTTGATCTTAATATTTTCCCTTAGAATAGCAAGACTGGCAAGAAGTTTATTATATCATCCTTTCAACCTCTGTGTCTAGTAAATGCTCGACTCAGTTTCCTTAAGGTTTTTACATGTAATGAATTCTGTGTTCAGAGTGGCAAGTTTCCTGGTTAGTTGTCTTCTCACAGGCTATTCTTTCTTTGGTGGCAGAATCAGTTCTAATACATCATTGGCAGATCCTCCCTCCTTTGTGCCTGTAGTACTCATTGCCTTTAGGGTGCAGATCTCTCTAAGTGACATTCATCCCTTTGTGTGGCTGTCAGACCTAAAGCCCTCTGAGCTCCTTGCATCCTGAGACCACATCTTCTGTCTTTTCTAGCAACTTTTCATCCCGCTTGTATAACAGCACCTGACCCATGTGGCTGGCACTGTATAAATCCCCATGCATTAACTCTGTAGAGGGCCAGGGATTTAGCTCAGTGGTGCTGCTGCCTGCCTGCCTCATGAGTGCAAGTTCCCAAGTTCAATCCCTGGTACAAAAATAATAATAATAATAATAATAATAATAATAATAATAACTCTGTAGAGATTTGTTCTGACTTAATTTTCTTCATTGCTCAAAAGCTAAACTTTTTTTTTGGTACCAGGGATCGAACTTGGGTCCTTACACTTTCAAGGCAGGTGGCAGAACCACTGAGCTAAATCCCCAGCCCCTAAACATTTGTTATGAGCTTTGTCTTGTTTGCTATTTATATGCACTTACAACTGAAGTGTGTAGTCATATCTTTTTCTAATACTGCTTTTCCTAATCTCCTTTAGCCTGATAGCCTATTTGAAAAGCTTTTGGATTAGCATGAGGATTGTATATTTTCAGTAATTAGTAAAAGTATTAAAGGAAGAACCCTTTGATATTGTTTGATATACGTACCTCTGCCCTTAGCTTCTAGAGAATCTTATTGTAGGGTTTCATTTTTGAATCCAGATGTCTCAGTTCAGTTGAGTAATTCTGCTAGCGGTACAGGAGTCATACACCTGATTGACGCAGGTGATTATGACACAGCCTGTGGCAGGTGTGCTGTGCTGCTGTGCTACGATAGACATGTGCAGAGGGTACCCTAGAGCACCGAGGAGGAGCACCTCACAGACACCTGTGAGACGTGGGGCAAGGGCCTGGGAAGGCATCAGGAAGGGGTGCAGGGAGGATCAAGTCCTGAGGAGACACCAATGCAGTACATGAAGTTCAGCAGGCAAAGGAGAGAAAGCTTTAGTAGAGAAGTGGTGAGGACAAAGTAAGGAGTTGGAAAGCAGTGTGTACTGCGTGTACAGGACGGCAAGGAGGCCGGGGACTGCAGAACGCAGGGCAGTGATGAGTGCACAGTGGGGACCAGAGTTGGGCTCAGGGGCCTTGGAGACCGTGTCACAGCCCATATTTTCCCCATCAGTTGGAAGAAACAGCTTCTGTGTCAGCATATTGTGTTTCTGTAGTGGGGGCGATGAAGGGCTCAGTCTTTGTCGTCAAACTGTTTGGTTTTGAGCCCTGGATCTGCTGCTTCATTGCTTTGTGATTTTGAAAAACAAATCCACTTTCTTCTGATGAGTATGGAGATTATAATAGTATTTACCTAATTAAAATGGTCACAGAAGTTAAAGGAAATGGTACTCTGTAATGCGTAGATCAGTAACTGGCATGTGGTGAGTGTTATAGTCTTCTTAAATTAAAGTTCATCTCTATGGTTAAATAGACAACTTAATTCTCTGATGGTTCCCAAAGATCAGTTAGCATCTTCTAAAATGCCAAGCTATTTCTTTTCACACCGTTTATTTTTTGAAATTAAATTTTTATGTGGTCGGCTTCTCTCTCTCTCTCTTTCTCTCTCTCTCTGTCTCTCTCTCTCTCTCTGTGTGTGTATTAAGGCCTGTGAAACACAAAATGGTTTATTTGCTCCCTTTTTCTTCAAAACTAAAGGAATATGACTTTTTTTTTTTTAGAAGTTGTAAACTGTAACCTCCAGAGTGGGTTAGAAGTGAGGGATGAGGCTGGAAGCTGCAGCTGATGGTGTTAAATCTTTCCTCTCCCTGAACGGAAAGATTGAGAAGAGAAGTCTGTGGAGATGTTTGTTTCCTGGGATCTTTAGGGGCCAGCATTTTCATGTAAGCTAACACAAGACAGACTTAATTACTGGTCCTTATGCTCTAGAAATAATAGTATCAAGCCTTCGGTGTCCGTGCATATCATCCTATACACAGACTTTGAGATGAATTCATCAATGTTATTGAGGGTATCCTCCCTGTAATAGGTGATGATGATGATGGCAGTGACAGTGATGACGCAGATGCAGCCGTTGACTTCCATAGCCTTTGGTTAGTTGGAACATCCCAGAAATGCTAGCTTCCAGGGCCCTCCAGTAATTGCTAATCTTTTCCATTTGATTGTTACAGAATCCGTATACCATCAGGTGTTTTTATTTACTTGTTTGTTTGTTTGGTTGGTTGATTCAGTAGGTGGATGTTTTTCCAGTTTTTTGAGACCCTTATTTGAATTCACTATGTAGCCCAGGCTGACCACAAGCTCACAGAGATCCTCCAGCCTCACCCTCCCCAGTTCTGGGATGATTGGTGTGCACCACCATGCCTGGCTACTGTCAGTCTTTTAATTCATTTAGAATCTCCTCAAAACTCCCTTTTCTTACTAGCTGGTTGTATAGACTAGAATAGTGGTGGCACTTAACAGTAACATTTGCTTCTATTTTTGTTTTAGGAGTTTTATTTTTAAATAATATGTCAGAATAATTTTGGCAAGTAAGTTGTTTTTAAAAAAGCTCTTTTGTAAGCAGAATATTGGGAAGCCCAATAAATCATACTTTTTTGTTATCAAATTGTAAGCATTTTATAAGATCCCATATAGAAGTTCACAGAAAAGGCCATTAGTCACTTCTTAAATTATTTCTGGTGAAAGTGTTGCTCTTGAATCCTTGACATCTGTTTTCCTATTTCCTCTCCCTTTAGGGTAAGTCTGCTATGCAATTAGTCAGGTACATGTCTATCTGTAGGCAACAGTGTAATCTCTATGGCCGTGTGTGTGCAAGCAGGGTAATTACAGTGTGTTATTAATTGGATCATGTGACTGTTTTTGTTTTAATTATTTCAAATCATCTTATCTTTCCATTCCGTTAGAGGATTTTAATGAGTAAAGCCAAAGATAGTGTGTTTGTATTACTTTTACAGAATTAAATATATACACATTTACATAAACTTGGTAAATAGTTCTCTATCTTTTATCCTTTATAATTTATAGATTCTCTCTCCCTTCCTGTGCATCATTTTAAGCCTGAAGAAATAAAATATTATGAGGACTCGATTTTTAAAATATTTTCCTTTAATTTAAAACACTGATTAGGAATAGATCTTTGGCTGAGGAGGTATCACTCCATGTAATAAGTTGTTAGAAATTGGCAGATTTATTTCTTAATAAATTAGGGCCTTACATGCTAAATTGTACATTCTCTTTAATAATCTGGTAGGAAATTTAGCTATGGGTACCCCTTTTCACTAAATACAAATACTTGGCAGGCTGTATGTAGAAACTAGCATTTATCTGAATTCAGATTTTAACTTATGTCTCCCTGTCTTTTCAGTTGTTTTTATTTCAGTTGCTGCGAGGGCTGTCTTATATCCACCAGCGTTATATTTTGCACAGAGACCTGAAACCACAGAATCTTCTGATCAGCGACACGGGGGAGTTAAAGCTGGCAGATTTCGGTAGGAAAGCAGTTAATTACCAGCCTGTTTTGTCATACTGTGCAAGTGCCAGGCAGATGGTGGCACTGCATTTGTTTAGGTGCACTACTTCTGTCACCATGGATCATGGTAAAATTTTTTTTCTGGAAAGAAGATTTTTTTTTTATTTTATGATAACACTAAAATATAAGTGGAAAAGTTGTGGATAAAATGTAACTTAAAACATTGATAGATTTTTATAGAATTTAGTCTGCTTATCAGAGTCTTACTTAAATAATCAAATATCAATCAGATGTCAGTATCTATTTCCAAAGGAAAAGTCCAGAAATTATGATCATAAAATACATTTAAGAAAAATTTTACTTTTTCTTATGACAATGTTAAAGATACTCCAAAGTAGCATTGTAGTATAAACCCATAATCCAGCTTCAGCAGATTATCAATATTTTTGCCAAACTTGAAGAAACCTGAAATTATCTGGCCAATTTCAGGGCATAATGGGATATGTGGTATCATTGATTTATGTTGCCCTAATAATTTCCTGACTTAGAAATCTAGCATCATTTTAACCTTTTCAAAAGTGACTATTGTTGCCAGAATTCCTCGTAATGTTGTAAAGTGACACATTATTCTTTAAAACTTGGAGTCCTGGAGTAGCCATAATGAATCATTCCTTTCTGAGACGTTCTAAGACCGGCCTTTTCCAGCTTGGAAGCCTCCTCCAGGCGTCCTTGAGCATCCAGAGGGAAGCAGAACTGTTTTACTCTCCTTGCTGGCACCATGGAGCCAGGCTGACATTTCTGCATCTCCTGGATGCTCTGCCCCACCCAAGACCCTGTTCATTATGTTCCTGGTCCTGGGGACAATGCCTCATGGCAGCTTGATGTGTTGACGTTGCACTGCTGCAATGATTTTTGAAAACACATGCTGATTAGAAATTGATTCCATTAAGAATGGAATGGAAATAGCACTTGGGACATAAAGATGCCTGTGGTTGAGATATGGGCTTTTTCTGAAGTATGATTATCTTTTCCTACTCCAACTTATACTGAGTAAAAGAGGACTAAAAATGATTATGTCCTACCTCAAGGTCAGTAGACTATTCTGTGCTTTTGGAAGGAATGTTCTCTTTTGGTCTTTGAGTATTCTTTCCTTCCAAAACTGAAATAAAGCAAAAGTTAGCACAGTTAGTAATATATTGCAAAACTTTGTAAACTGTTTCTCTGGATCCACTTTGATGAAAATAGTAAAACTGGTATGTGTTTATGTGTTTATATTTGTGGGGTGTTTATTGCCAGATTTAGAATCAAGATTATGCCGAGTGGCTCGCTGTAAAGTCTTTCTATGATAGTGTAGAAAATACTGAGAGTATAGGTGGGTGAAAAGGAGAAATTTTGTTGTTTTTCATTTTCAGGGTTATTGGCTTTACTGTGAATGTATTTTGTAGTTGATAAGTGTAAGTAAATTAAAAAGGATTAGTGATCTTTATGCAAATATACTTACAGTTAAGGTTATGTTATAGTGTTGAACATTTAATTGTATTGAACATGTTTCTTGTACATTTATAATAGGATATATTTTTATAGAATTCATTTGTGTATATAGTCAAGGGTACAAAGTATATATGTGCTTACCAAGGATTATTTTTTAATTTTAAAATGTTGTTTTTATGGTAGCAGGAAATTTCATCTAAGAAGAGTCTCATGAATCCTTAAAACTGGTATTTTATAATATCAGGTTCAGAAACAAATTGAAATGTAATTTTTAAAAACTTGGATGATTGTATGGAAGATCTGAAAATGTTGAAAGTCTGAACAAGTCAGAAATGAAAAATGTTAGCACTTTTGTTGTGTATTTCACCAGTTACCTTTCTTCTCCTTTCTCTCATGTTGTGCTGTATATTGCTTATCCTAAAAACTACTATTTTATAAACATTTTTTACATAAAAATATGTCACGAGCATAGCATCTTCTCGTGCTAGTGAGTTTGACCGAGTCATTTATAGCTGCTAGATTTTCCCATTACTCATCAGAGCCTCGTCTGTTCAGTCCTGCCTGAGTATCTGTGTGCTTCCTGATAGTTGCCAATCAGATGCAGTCCTGTACCGAACGTCTCTGTAAGGAAACCTGCCGTGCTGCAGATACCATGGCAAATGTGGCAAGGTGGCTGAGCCCTCAGCCCAGCCCGCTCTGCAGAACATGGTGCGTGTGCTCCTCTCCTTGGCTTCAGGGATGGAGTCAGCTCATTGGAATGTACTCAGGGCTTGCATGCTGTGCGCGAGTGTGATGGGCAAGCCTCATTGGCCAACTGACAGTTTCCTCCAATTAATTGTGCGTTATTTTTGTCTTTTAATCTAAGTCATGCAATTAACTGTGATTTACTGTGTTTGGGCACGTGTGTGTCTGAGATGAAGGAAACACACTGAAAACTGCAGAGAAGATAAACAGTGAAAATGGGCTGGTTCCTGGCAGCAGAACAGTTAGAACCACAAGATCTTAATTCCGAATTTGACATGCAGAGAGATTTAGAAACCATTTCTTTGTCTTACCTTGGTCTTTTATGTGAGCTATACCATAAATTTTTGATTAAAAGAGACAAATGCAATTTGTATAATTGCTTTTCCTATGTTGGAAAGAATACTATCTTATTGGAAAAATATACCGAGGGGAAAAAAATAACCACTAAAATTCATTGGGTTTATTCTGTGTGCCAGCTAGACATTTACAAATTCTTGTTTTATTGTCTTCTCTACCAAGTAAGGTGTAGTAACCTATAATTTAGAATTCAAAAAGGGTGAAAATTTTTTAATTTTGTTTGATGAGTTTGGCAAACGAGCAGTGTTTTGGCTGTATGTAGTCAGGAGCATAAATGGAACTGATGGCTTCTTGTAGTGCTGAGCCTTGAGATTTCTTTGAGTCTCTTACGCAGAGGCTTGCATATTGGCTTGGTACACTGTGTTATAATCATGTGATAAAAATAGATATCACAGAGTGCATGTAAATATATACAAAAGAAGCATAAATCTTGGCATTTCTACTCTGTAAACGCCAAGTGAGTGCCTCCTTGAACTGTTGGTGAAAGCAAAGTGTGTTGAACTGTGAAATATGACTCGGTCTGTAACAAGCTTCTAAATTTCAGGAAGTTACTCCTGTCCTCTGAGCTTCCCTGAAATAAAAGAGCATTGAGCAGACAGATAGTTTCTACGGTCCTTTTAAATTATGTGTGACATTTCCAAAATTATTAACCTATTTTATGAGTAGCTTCTAGTGGGTAAAGATCTTCTCACTGAATCAGGAATCAGTGTCATACTATCTGTCCCTTAAATCTAATTTTATTTCTGGCTTTTGGAAATGCAAATAGATGAGATTTATACTTCTATAATATGCATTGAGATTACATTAAAAGAAAATTATTGCAGCACAATTAAGTAAATGCATAAATTTTCCAAGAACTTTTTATTTTCAGTGTAATAGCATGACAATGTAAGATATTCTCAATTTTAGCAAGATTAAAACAAAAAGGATGATTGTGTAGAGTTACGGTTTCCTGTGATTCATGCAGCTGATGTTCGCGTCATCCACATATCCCGCCATTCTTCTGCTCTTCTTTTTTTTTTTCTGGTACCGGGTATCAAACTCAGGACCTTGTGCTTGTGAGGCAGGTGCAGCATCTTCCACCAATTTTTTATTAAGTTTATTGATACATTTTCAGTGTATGATATGACATTCATCATTGGGAATTTGTACCTGTATGTGATCTTATTTTTTCCCCTTTCCCCTGTCCTCCCTTCAACCCCTCTACCTCTCCCTATATTCAAAGGCCTTGTTTCCATTTTTTCCTCTTCTCATATTTATTCCTTTCCCTTCTTTCCTTTACCCAGCCCCTCACACTTCCCCTTACCCTTTGGACCTTTTCTTCCCATTTCACATTATCTATTATACATTTTTATCCTTATTTACTTTTCAGTATCTCACACTAGTGAAACTAGTCAGTATTTACACCTGTGTGTCCTATTTATTTCACTTAAGAGTATGGCCTCTGTATGCATCTAATTAGGTATAAATGTCTCTAGCTTTTCATTCTTTAAGGCTGAGTTGTACTCCATTTTATAAAAATGGAGTCTTCTGTTATTTTTAGGCACAAACCTTTAAAAGGTCTTAAATCACTTTGAAAGTTTGGTTAAATATGCCCCTGAAAAAGATAAACCTCAGGAAATTCATAACATAAGCATTTAAAAACTTGGCTTATTTTAAACAACTTTGTGGTTTCAGTCAAGTAAGACTTTTGCACTGGTGGTCTTAAATCTTACCTTCCTAACATTGGTAGTTTTCTTTTTCAGGTTGTTCCCTCAATAGATTTTTATTTGTTTGTTTGTTTGTTTGTTTTGGGTACTGGGGACCGAACTCAGAACCTTGTGCTTTCAAAGCAGGCACGGGGCTACTGAGCTAAATCCCCAGCCCTTACTAGATTTGAGAAAGAAAATTATTATAAACCTCATTTTAGATTAATTTAAGGAGCACAGAAGATCAGATGGAAAGTACATGATTTATTATTGGCTTCTCAGAATTCTCATTTGCAGATGCAGAGTAGATCCTGCTGGTTTGATGAAGCCCCTAGATAAAAGCCTGTTAGCCTCAGAGACAATGAACAATTTTCGCATTACTCCATACGGAATTCATCATTGGAGCTGTGGCCTGCAGGATTCACTCTCACTGTGTTTTTGTTTTAGAATAACTATTTTCCAATAATCTATCACTCTCCTTTTAAAAGGCCCTTTGGACAGTTTAACACATAAACAGTTTTAATGGAAAATTTGAGGAGTTGCTTTCATATAGATCTAAAACAAAGAATATATTTAGAATTGTTGAGGCTGTAATATGAACTAAAGAAAGGCATTTTAATCCCTAATTTAGTTAGGAAACTCCATTTCACCTCTAAATGAAAATGAACATCTGTCCAGTAGATCATCAGACCTACATGTCAGGAATAATCTTGATTTGACATGCGAACTGGCAGAGTTA